TATATCTTCTGATCATTATAACTGACTCTGATGGCGGATGATTTATAACTGACTGCATTGCGACTGACAGTTGAATGAGAAATAGTTGGGTTGTTCCTCAGCAATCATTTATGATGGCACATTTAATTTCAGAGAAGAGGCTTGTTGATATTTTAACAAAAATGTGTAACTATTTGTGTATTTCAGAGATTTAAGTACTTTGCTTAGAATGATGATATGTTCATTTTAAAGAAAGTTTTCCAGTGCTTTAAACAGTCACTATGTCCATACACATCGGGCCATTTTTCTAGGAGCCCATTGTTTTAAATGTCCCAGTGGAAAATGTGATCCCCCATTGTTACAGTTTGGTCGCAATATTTGTTTCACACCATGGGGAAGGCATGATAGCCCCACTCTGCGTCTGGTTGGCTAACCGTGGTATTTTTAAGCTTAAACTTAGTCAATCTCACTTCTTATGCCTAAACCTCACCTACCCAACCAACAAAGCAAAGGAACACTACTTGACGCGGTAGTGCGGGTCATTACTTTGTAATCAGACAATATAAAATATGGGGAGGATCTGATAGGGTCACTCTGCATAACAACAATCCACGCGCACGTTCTGCTTGTTCCAGAGAGTTTTTTTTAAAACACTGCGCCTTTGGAATAATAGTTGTTTATTCATGGAATAACAGTTTGTTGGAATAATGGGTTTTTGGCACAGTTTTTCCCATCCGAACCATGGGCAGTCGTGTTGAGACATGATGTTTTTACTTTTCTGATATAAGCCAAATGCTTGAATTTAAGTATGGAAACATTTACCCTAAAATGTTAATGTGGTTTTGAAAGTGCCTTTTGAGTGACAAGGGGTGAGAAAAAGTGGAGGGCCTTATGGACTCGATGCCGGATAAAAATTGTAGGGATCAAGCTGCAATGGATGTGTCTGCATTTGTGTGGATGTGTGTGACCTGAAGAGTGGGTGAGTTGGGTAGAGGTCAGAGGTTATCTGTCATTCGGGCAAAAGAATGGCTGGTCCGTTCTTTTTTTTCATCTAGATGTCAGTCTGATTCGCTCTCTATTGGTTTGTCTTGTTGACTGTCTATCTGCCCTCCTGCCCATCTGGCTGGAGTGAGAGGGCATGGGGGCCAAAGTGTGTATGGCAGCAGGAAGTGTGAGTGTGTGTGTGTGTGTGTGTGTGTGTGTGTGTGTGTGTGTGTGTGTGTGTGTGTGTGTGTGTGTGTGTGTGTGTGTGTGTGTGTGTGTGTGTGTGCTCTTGGCAACTGTAAATAAGTGTGAGCACATTTCCATAGAGCTGAAAATATAATGCTGCATCAGACCCAACTGTCAGCTTTCTTTTGACATTGAGAGGAGAGGAAGAGAGGAGAGCCATAAACACACACACACACACACACACACACACACACACACACACACACACTGACTAACACACTTTGTTTGCTATGCGGTGACCTGCTGCAGACAATTATGTCTCCCTCGCTCTTCCACAATCAGATTACTGCTGGAGGACAAGGCTTCTGGACCTGCTGCTGTGAGCTAAATTAACACACAAACACACACTCTCAAACACATGCACACACATTCCACACTGTCAGAGATTCTTAGAAGCTAATGCTCCCATTGAGTGAGCAGACTCCTACAAAGAAAGAATAAATATTGTGATTAAAACAACGGTAATCATCAAATATTGTATTGGTATGATTATGATAATAGCCTAATTATGCAACACCAATATCCCCCTTCTTTTATGGCACTTGTTTTAGGACAACCTTTCTCAATATAAGATACATTTACTATGCTAACATGCACACCATGACAATATTCGGAATTCCTTAAGGCTCATAAACAGTAAACAGCGTATTCTGTTTGGATATTCCAAATCAGGGTTTATTTAGAATGTTTTTTCTGATTAATACATGGTGGGTTTGCTAATATCATTCAGGGGACATGTACACAACATGTGCCTCTCAACTTGGGTTTTTACTGCAATTGTACACACTCAGCATCTTGCCTTTGTATGACCAGCTTTGTGCATTGTACACAAACAAACTAGCCAACCGTTTGCAAGGCTGGGGTAAAGGTGCAGGCCGAAGAAAAAGCCCCTATTTCTGGTCTGAAGGAACAACCTCATTTCAAAGACCTGGATATCAACAGGCAAGGAAGGGAATTTGGTTACACTTTATAACAATTATGACAAACAAATTGTAAATTGACAGTTAATTCAACTTTAGTTATAGTTATTTTACGGTTTATTTGTTATAGGTAATGCTATAACTTATGTTACTTCATGATTGGTTTGATAATATAACATAATAGGTTTAGAAATGATAGACTGTATCATGGCTGACATTAACAATTCATTTCTCATTACCTTAGTAAACTGTTTATTAGCAGTTTATTGCTGCGCGCATTTTATCAAGTATAATGCTTATCAAAGGATTTGTTCATCTTTCATTAGTCCTGTAGGACATGAAGCTTAGTTGGAAATATATATTGAAATGGGGGATAGAATATTTTGAGCATGTAAACATATTTATCTAAAATAACGTAGATACAGTGTAATAAGCGCTTTTGGAAATCAATAAAAAAAGGGCACCTTTTTATATTTTTTAAATGGTCACTGTCATCCTTTTTTTTAGCTGTGACGTTGTTGATAGACCAGGCTGACAACATATTCTGTCATTGAAGGTTGTCTTTTTCCTTCCCCGTCAGTAGAACGAAAATATTGTGTGTATTTTTTTGCTTTACTATATTTATATGTGATCGAAATGATCCCGTGGGCCAATGTCACAGAACTAACTGGTCGGTAGAAGGCAAAGAAATGTCTGTGTCCGTGTTAATGTCAGGACAATGAGAGGCTACTAGATGCCTTGAAGGTTTACTTCCACTATGACACAGACACGATAAAACAAACAACTGTAACACCCAACGGACATTTAGTTCCTGATCCCCCTCGTCTGATCCCTGCCTTTACACACCGTGGGATTTTTTTTCACAAGATTTATTTGCTATTCGATATATTATTTTATTTATAAGGATGATAAAACAACAACTTGGAGGCTTATTAGTCCTGAGCAAGATGGCAAACCTAATAACACCTTTCAACTTGTGTGAAGGTGCCCAGAGCCACTCCTAACTTAATAATAAAGGCACTTTAAATGTAACATTTGCAGGCGAGTATTACACAGTTTCATGGTATTTTTTCACATCACACCCCGTGTGATAAGTCCATAAGTGACGTGAACAGGTCTGCAAAGAAAGGAATTTCGATATTGTAACTAAATTAACCTGCCATTGAATCGTCAATCAAAGTAAATAAAGAAAGTGGAACACTTTGGACCATACTTTTATATTGTTCATTTGATATGTTAACTCAAAACAAAACTGTTGGATTATGTGTATATGCCAATTGAATTGATGGCATGCTAAGTCTAGGACTGCTCTTTATCTATGGATGTTTACAGCATAAATTGTGTGTCTGGCCGCCTCAATTTAATTTAAATTCAGTTTTCTACCTCAAAAATCATCAATCGCAAGTTAATTTGTGTTTTCAAGAAACTTACAAAAGTAGGCTATCTCCCGTTCGACTCATTGTCCACTCAAGTTTAACAAATTGCTGAATAAATAAATAATCTCTCCCACAATAGTAGAGCAATAGTATATCCGCATAGCATTTTTCGACAATCTGATAATCACTGAACTCATTAATCTAGGAAACTTCTTACAGCAAACTGACATTGTTGTATTTTTGTTAACACTTAAGGCTGTTGGCTTAGCATAGAGATTAGACAAATGGGAAAACGGATATTGAAGATTCGAAATAGGGGGAAAAACTAGCATTTCAAGGAACATGTTAACAAGACTCAACCAGCTAATTAGTAAGTGGGAAATACTGAAACTCCTTTACGTTTAGCTAGCCGCTAAGCTAGCTGCCAAGCTAACAGTCTACTTTATATTTGAAGTCTCTATCTCCTTATCTACCTCCTACAAAGTTAGACCTCTTCATCCCATTAGTTTCTCCATTTATACAAACAACTCATTTTGTTTTTTCGTTTGAAAGACTTAGAAATAGAGGGACTTTAAAGAGATACAGCAACACAAAGAGAGAGAGTGTTTAAGGAAGTAAGACAACCCCCGTTTTTCTAGCGTAATTAACAGTAGAAAAATGGTCCTATATTTATGGCAATGACAGAAACTGAAGTAAAAAAACAACAACAAAAACACAGTCTAAGAAAATAATGAGGAAGGCTAAGAGAAAAGGGGAACGTAGGAGAGAGGAAGTGCCATTAAGACTGGTCTCAGCAGAGGAAGAGAGAGAAAGCAAGTCAGGAATAGGCAACAGAGGGATGGAGATGAAGATGTGTAAAAGAGGACTGACAGGAAGGAGAATCAAGAGGCGGGACGAGAAGAAATGAAGACAGATGAGGGGGCAAAGAAGAAGAAGAGAAGGAGGGAGTGCAGGAGGAAGAAGGGAGATGATGTTGATGTTTGCTTGTTATTCCAGCTCTCATTTCCCCCCCGGAGCTCATTATAGAGTCTGGAGAGAAACAAACCAAAAAACCTTAAAAACCAACCGAGTGGAGAGAGAAAGAGAAGGATGAGCCTCCTAAAAAATAAAACATAAACAAATGGAAAAGAAGAGAAAAGGTTAAGAGGCACCATGAGAGGAAACAGGGACAGAGAGTCAGAAGGAATTGGATATAGAGAGAGAAGTGAAGAAATACAGTGAGTGAAGATCCACAGACATGTGGAGACAGGAGGAGACAATAACAAGAGAGACACATATAGTGAACACCACCCACCGTTTCACACACAACACAGCAGGGGCTGTGTGTGCTTCTGTTTGCTTTCAGAAGTCATGCCAGCTTCCACAAAATAAACTGCCAGGCCAGGCTTAAAGTAGGTTTAAGAAAAATAAAAGTACCATTTACATTTTATTGATTTCAGAGCAAATAAAAAAAGAAAAACATTTGATAAATTGATTGATTCATAATAATAATAATTATATTAAAAGATAAAGGTACAAATAATACAAATAAATAAATAAAAATACTTTTTTAGCTGTAGGTTTTTTTACACAAGTAGTAGTCTCAGCTTTTTCGCCACAACTTGGTTTGACCCAAAACAAAAACAAGAAGCATGTTTTTAATCAGAAGAGCAGAACGGCAGCCTCAGATTTCCACACACAATCACTAGTAAGTTTCTCTTAGAATATTTTTTTCTTTTATATAACACTGAAGTACGGAAATACAGATATTATAGTCATCAAACCAGATTCAGTTTTCAGTATTAGAATTATCATTATTGTCATCATAATACCAGTAGAATAGAAATGGTGGCTTAAATTTTGCTATATTTATATATCCTTTTGTATATATACTGTGTAAATGTATATATATGCATATATATTTATACATATACTCTATATGTATATATATATATATAAACTGTATATATTATAGAGTTCGTGGTTGTAAGTTGGTTTCAGTGTCCAAAGTCCAACATTGAAGAAAAGCAAGGAAGGATCCGTGCTGGGAGGCAAACGAGTACAGCAGCAGATAAAGGACAGACACGAGGGAGGAGAGGGGGGGACAGAACGGAAGAGAGGGGGGGAGTGAGGGGATAACAGAGGTATACAAAAAAGAAAGAGAGACATCTGCACTTGTGGGTAAACGGCATAGTCGAAAAAGAGGCGAGGATCCTGGAGAGGGAGGGGTACGAATCTGAAGAAAACAGCAGCAGTGAAGGAGGGAGATGGAGCTCGGGATAAAAGGATGGTAGGAAAGGATGGAGGTGGATTTAACTGTTTGTGTGGCTGCCAGAGAGATGAAGAACACACAGAAGGAGGTAACGTAGGCATGTAGCAATGCTTTCTGTGTGACTTTTATCAATACCACATTAAGGTTCATTAGATAGAGTCACCAGAGTCACAAATCAGTATTGAAAAGATTGATAGAGAGTGTTTATAACTTCTAAATGTTACAGTTAACTTAAATCCGTGTTTTGTGAAATGTATACTTTATAATTGTTCTCCAATATTTTCCGAATGTTGTCTTTCGGGAGGATTACGGAAAACTACTTGCCTGATTTAGGGTGAAGCGTGGACCAAGAAAGAAGGAATTACATTTTAGGGGCCAAACCGAATCAAGGGGCGGATATGCATATTGTTTTTCACATACATTAACGTTGCAAGATTCGGGCAATAGTTTAAGAATGAATGAATTCCTGACTTAGAAAACTCATATGAACACCCCTTTGAGTTGGAACAACAACTCAGATACCTGAATCAACTGGTTGTTAAATGCTCTGAGGAATGCTCTTCTAAAGCACATCTTCCTTGTCCATGTTGTTAACACATGATGACCTACAACCAGTGAACACATAGAAGTTGGAAGAGCGACTTCCCAACCAGGAAATTGGACCATCCAAGTAGCACATGAATGCACCATAGGCCTTGGCAAAGGTGTTTGAGTGCCATTGTAGTTTCTAGTGCTTTTTGAAAGATTGTGCTCGCTAGTAGTGTTATTCAAAATCTTCAATTGTCCTGGTAGACATCAGGTAGATGTGTTTCTTATAACATGTTCTACAGAAACATAATTGCTGTCTGGATTATTTATAAGTAGCGCTACATTTACGTAACGCACATGAGTTGTCTGGTGGAGGTCAAAAAGTAACTTCAAAAGTTACTGACTATTATTATAAAAGTAAAACATATCTTTACAGGAAATACAAATGTAGCATCTAATTTCCTGATCAGAGTTTGGAGTTCCTCCGATGGAAGTTAGAGTGTGGCTTTAGGTCTGACCTGAAATCAGTGCAATGCATGTAATCAAATGACTTCAAATATCCACAGTAAATGGGATATGGGGGGAGCAGTTCTTCAAGAAACATTCTTCAAAGCTTATGTTGATGGAGATCGATGAATTAATGATTGAATGAATGTGGAGAAAGAAGGGGGGGGGGGGTTACACTGGGGCTTCAGTACACGCTGGAACATATAAATGATCACTTGCTTCTTTCAGCAGAGAATAAAAAAGGTTTTGGCTGTCCAAAGCTGCAGTCAAGCCACGGAGAAAACAGAGGGAGGAACAGATGGATGAAAAGGATGGATAAAAGGAGGAAGGGAAGTGAAGAAGCTGGCCAAACACCTTCCCGTACTGGCTTCATAATTCCTCTCTCATACATCTGTAACATCTCCCTCCTCCCTCTGCAGCGTCCCAAACAGAGTCACATCCCCTCTTCTCTTTCCCACCATCTTATTCACGTCCTTTGCTCTTTCCAACGCCCCTCTTCTTCCTCCATCTGCCTTTTCCTTCGCCATTCCCCAGCTCCTCCTCGTTCCTTTCCACCCCCTGCTCCTCCTCTTCCTCTCCCTCTACACGGGGAACACCAGGAAGCCGGAGAAGGTGGAGTATTTCCATCCTCCCATTAGGTTCCCTCTCTCCAGTTTGAGGTAGGCCCGGTCTCCCTTCTCCATCTGGATCAGAACCCCATTGCTGGCCGCCTCGCGCGTCACATCCTGGTCGCCGGCAAACGCTGAAATCACCGGCCACCCGTTGTGCATCAGGCTCACCTGGGTAGGGCAAAAGAGAAAGAGTTTAATTAATGCTTCCAACACGAGAAGGGAAATGTAGGGATTTCATTTGTTCCATTAGCTTCCCTTTTAATGTGTTTTTGTTTATTACGTCTTACCTATTTTATACCAATGTATAGATTGATCAAATTAAAGGGGCCCTATTATTCTTTTTGGGGTCTTCCCTTTCCTGAAATGTATTAAATAGGTTTGTGTGCATGTAAATGGTCTTCAAAGGCTAAAATCCCAAAGTTCCCCCTAGAAAGATTTTCTCTCCAACACACTGCTTGAAACGCCTCCATTGGTGGCAACATAATGACATCACACCGTTGACCAATCAACCAACAGAGCCGGCCAAACAGCTAACCAATCAGAGCAGACTGGGCTCTGGTTTCAGACAGAGGGTGAAAAGAGGTGCTGCAGCACAGGCAGTATGAGGAAAATAAAGACAACTAGAGAATGCAATTCCTGAAGAAATTGCTAGTGGGAATGCTTTATGCTGAAAAGCTGACGCTAAACTGCTATGCTGAAATGTAATGTGTAAGAAGAAAGTGAAGAATTTAGATTGAAATTATACATGAACACTGGGGGCTTGAATGTGTGATGAGTGAAGAAAAGAAAGTAAAAAGGCTTGGAAAAGCAGCAGAATATTTGAACTGCAACCTTTTGAACTAACTTGATGGCGAATGATCTGTCGCCATGGCAACGGCATTTGATGACACCCCATAATATGCTTAGATGCGTTGATGGCTGCATCGTTACCAAACCTGTGAAGTTTTGGGCCGTTTGGAACATTTTCACTGAAGTTATGAGAAAACCGTGTTTCATGGCGAGCATTGTGTTGCCATGGCAACGGCATTTGAAGAAATCTCAAAACTGTCTTGTAGATGTTTTCACGGCTGGACTGTTAGCACACATGTGAATTTTTAGCACTTTTTGAACATTTTCATAGGAGTTAAAGGGACATCGTGTTTTATGGTGAGGGAACGGCATATGGTGAGATTTCAAATTTGGCGTAGAGCTGTTGAGGCATGGACCGGTGATATACAAGTGAAGATTGGGGGACGATTGGACCGTGTCCATTGGACTTACAGCGACATCGTGTTTCATGGCGAGTGGTCTGTCGCCATGGCAACGGCATTTGATGACACCCCATAATACGCTTAGATGCGTTGATGGCTGCATCGTTACCAAACCTGTGAAGTTTTGGGCCGTTTGAGAGAGAGAGAGAGAGAGAGAGAGAGAGAGAGAGAGAGAGAGAGAGAGAGAGAGAGAGAGTGTGTGTGTGTGAGTATGAAATGAACAGTTAGAACTGACTGCTGTCAGTTGGAGTGATGACATCATCGTGTTCCATTACACAGGTGTTTATAGTTGAGCTAACGAGCTCTGTAGAGATCAAAGGTTTGCATTGTTCTGAATGAGAGATAAACCTCTTACATGTGAACGTTTTGTGGAAGAACGATAACAGATATCTGTGAAATTTCAAAACGTGAAGCATGTCAAGGAAGTTGAGTATCTGAAGTGTAATTTTTGTATACTTTCGGGTAAATAATGTGGCATTTTGGGCAGTTTAACTAAAGGTGTGCGGCTGCTGGAAATATCAGCCTGAAATTACAATGGGTTTTAATGGAGACATGTTGAACGTTTTTGTCACTTCATGCCCTCAAGAGGCATTTTGTTTAATTATTTTTTGCTTAATTATTTGTCATTTTTCAAGCTACGAGATGTTTTCCTACGTGTGTCATGAAAAATGATGTCTCAGGAATGTAGGGTTTTGGAATTATGGCAGTTTAAAAAAAATATATGAAGGCAAATTTCAAGATTTGCTCCACTCTAGCTGTGACATCACGCACTCTAGTTAATGTTAAAATCTGAAGAAAACCTCTTTAACAAGGTCTGAACAATGTTTAATATCTCTAAAAGTAAGAATCAGATTTAAAAGTTGTGTTACACGAATAATGTCAGAAAGATGTGTAACATTTTAAAGTTGGAATGAGGTTTCTGAGTGAAAGTATGAATGAACAGTTAGCAGTTGAAGTCGCATGAAGATTTGTTGAAGTCTGAAGAATATCTCCATTGACTTCAATGGTTGAAAATGTGATGAATTATGGGATGTATCTCTGGAATTATGAAAGTTATGAATGAGAAAAGTAATAGCCTGCGATTCCCGACCGAGCTGAACGTTTTGATGTTTGAACGGAGTTTCTGCGATGTTGAATGTGGGAGGAGAAGAGGGCCAAAATAAGTCGGCGGAATAATAATAATAAACTTTTTGTCCGTAGCATAACATATAGTGTTATTAACTATATGTTATGCTACGTATGGAGACATGTCGCAGTAGAGGCACAAAATACAAATATGATCCTGAAAAGAAGCATATGAAATCCTCTTTAATGTACTAAAACCATTTAGTAGTAAGTTTAGATTTTAGTGTATTAGGTTAGTGTTATGTGTTTTTTTTTTGCTTGTAGTTTTTCAGTTTTTAACATACACTTTTTCCAATTTGAAATGTGTATGCATTGTCTATTGTAAATACTTCATGTTAAGTGTCAGGGCCCATATTCTCAAGCTTTGGATAGTTTATATGGATGTCCCATTTCAGGCATTTCCATATTGTTATGTCTTATTTATTTTTTGTTAAAAAATTCAATGAATTAAAAAAAATCTAAATGTCTGTGCAGCAATGCATGTAAGAAGGATAATACAACAGAACAGTACATGTGCGTGGAGCAGCTTTGTGCTGTTCAGTCAGCACATTATCAATTGATATATAGGGTGATTTTTTTTCAATTACCACTCGGAGAAGATTTTACAATGACTTAGAGAGACATTCACACACAAAGACACAACCAACCCACACGGGGTCTGACTCGACAAATGTCTCAATGGGGAATAACATCGTCTTCCTACAAAGAGAAGGAGCTGTCAGTGAAGCGTCCCCTCTCTTCCCCGGGCCAGACGACACACACACCAGACACCAGCTTTCATCACTTCTCTTTTGAGCAGCAGCAGAAATACGAGCGCTCCCTGGATTTGTTCCCCCCGTATGCTTCGCTAAGGACTGGTTTTATGCAACCCATGGCACAGTTGCAGTTCTGAAACAAACTGAAATGAATTTCGGGGGAAATGTCAGTTTATGCAGGATCACACTTGATATAAAACCTTTGAGATTACTCGCCTTTCTGTGAGCAAACTCGCTGTTCCTTGAAATGAAAAGAGAAACACCACAGGGGTTGTGTTCTACTGCATTTATAGACACACTGCAAGACCTTGACTAGGTGGGGATTGATTTAGCATTTGGAAGAGAAAAGTATGAAAATATACCTTATAGAGATATACAAATGTATTCTGGCTTATTTTTTCCTATACCCCTTTCAGCAAGAGCAGCTGTTGCTCAGGAGGGCAACTCACTGGGCCAGCACTAATAACAGGAACATATGTTTTAAATGCTGTATAAATGCAGTTCATTTGCTATTTACTAAATGTGTTTTTGCCTTCCAACATTTTTTCAAATCCTTTGAAAAATGTTGCGATGTGACCAGATGGCATGACTTTCGAGAACAAAAATACACTGTGGGTCTCGGCTCAGTCAAATCAATAGAGAGGAAAAGTAACCCTAGATTCGTTTTTAACACATTTGACAACTTTTGGTTGCTGATATTGGGGCAGTGGATTTAGCAAACATAATTGTATTCAAATATACAATGATTAACAGACTTCTCTCTCCCAATGTTAGCCAATGGGAAAACGTCATTTTGGGACCCAATGACGCCATGGCATGAACTGACACAGAAGTTTTAGTACCAACGTTTGACCACTGCGAAAATGGCTTTAATGGTTCCGGGGGGCTTGGTAAACATGTGTCGCTTTGAGGCACTTGGTGAAATGACTGCTGCTCAGAGGACAGTCTAATTGTGTAGGATTGCTTACAATGATGGATAGATTTTTTTGGAAAGTAGAGGTGCCATTAATATTGGGTGGAGCACTTGTAATTGTTTTACTGTTTCCTGTTAAAACATCGGGACGTTGGACATTTTTGTCATTTTTCATCAATAAGCAAACAGCCTCTGTCTCCTCTACAAAGATACACTCATGACAAACTCTGATGTACGGTACAAACGTCCACCTCACAACAAAGTGCTTTTTAAAATGTTTTCTTTCACAGACATCACGCCGTTTTTCTTTACATTATTTACACAGCAAGCCCGTTTTCATGTTTCATCTTTCCATAGTGCACTTTAATCCAGATAGGAAATCACATCTCAGCTCTAAATACGTGAAAATGTTTCTGTACACCACCTGTAAGTAAGTCATTTGAAAACTGTTGCCTGGTGATGGGACACAGTTATACGCTTACCATAATTATACACTTATCCACCTCATTTAACTACATGAAGGTCAGTTCAGAGGATCTGTGTGTGTGTGTTAGTGTGTGTGTGTGAGCGTGTGCGTGTGTGCGTGTGTGTGTGTGTGTGTGTGTGTGTGTGTGTGTGTGTGTGTGTGTGTGTGTGTGTGTGTGTGTGTGTGTGTGTGTGTGTGTGTACAGTGTGTGTGCGTGTGCGTGTGTGTGTGTGTACCGTATGTGTGTGAGTGTGTGTGTAGGAGATGGAGAGCCTGTCAGAGTCAAGAGCTCTCTCGGCCCAGCACTCCTCTTAATAGCAAACTGAACTTAGCATGTGTATGTGTGGGAATGTGTGTGTGCGTCTCTAAATGTGTGTGTGTTATTCTGAAATTTGATGAAAACACTCAGACTGTACTTAAACTATTTTTTTTGTTGTTTTCAGAGTAGAAACACAGACTGGGTCGTGGCAAAATGTTCATTTCACTATGATGAAACATGTATCTAGTTATGGCCTTAATGAATTGAAATATAAATGGTGCTGTGTTGCACGTATCATTATATACCTATTAGTGGTCCTTTGGGACTATTGTGAGGCGAAGGAGGCATCACTCAGAGAGCATCGTTTTGACTCTCTGTTTTGAACGTAGCCCATTTTGTA